GTCAATGCCAATGATGTTATGATGATAATAAAGACGACGCATATGTCCATACTGCGCAGCGTTTACAAATTGTTCCGCTTTACATTAAAATATTATGATTTTTAAGCGAATGTGTCATATGATATAGAATATAAATATGATACGGAAAGAGATAGCAGTCCATAGAATGGCAATCTAATTACACCAATTGGTGTTATTTCAGTGCCTCAGTTTCGCTGCGCTAGTGTCATATCTACCTCGTATTTGTATATAATATCATTGTGGCAATCCAATATAGGTTGACGGTTCTTATTAAATTTAACTTTCCGAAAATAAAACATAATATAAACTAAAACAAAATTAATCGGCCCCAACGGACGTATCGAACTTTCGCAATATCGCTTCGAACTGTCGCAAAAGCGTTCGCGACAAAAGAAATTAATTCATCGCCTTTCGACTTTCACTGTCGGTGCCGCGCCTTCCACTGTCAAGCATCGGCCAAATCGCTGGTGTATAAAATTTATAAAAAGTATACAGCGTGTCGTTACCATCGCGACAATAAATGAACACACATATAGGGGATAACTTTTTAAAGTTGTATTAATCATTTAAATTCTTTAAACATCAATGTTTACCGAGTTATTAAATTTTCCAAAACAAAGAATTTTAGAACACCCGTACGTATAAAACTGTAACGTAAAGTTCATTTGTAAAGGTCACAAAGCATATGAATGGGTTGAATGAATTTAAAAGAGACAAAACATACTGTTAGGAGAGGCTTGTAATACGACGCTGTGGCGCAAGTTGTATAGGATGTTACAAATTTTGTTTCTTTTTTACTTAATTAGTTTGTTTGAAAAATATTTTTTATTAATTATGGATTTTGTTTTACGTTAATATTTTTTATGATTATTGGCAAGTAGCGTTAGACGCGTGTTCATTTATTGTCGCGATGGTAACGACACGCTGTATAAGTCGGGTATTGACTGCGCTGCCGACAAGTTTAACGGATTTACGACTAATAAACAACATTTATCCAACGAAACGAAAACACGTCTGTCATGCGACCGTACCTCTGTACAGTTGCGTGCGTAAAATGACATTAACGACATGCCAACCAGCTGTCACGTCTTAATAGACAGAGCAAAGTGTTTAGAACTAGGTGTTACACATCTCAGAGTGGACGTACACTTATATAATGTGAAAAAAGAACTAGTACTTGTCATTGCGTATATTTTGAACCACTTATTAATATTGAACGATTAACAAATCGATCAAAATGGCGAGTAATAATACGAAGTTATTAAACCGCACCGTACATTGCATTTTATTGAAGAACAGAAACCAATCAGTAGAAAATGACGCCTAAAATATTTAAAGATTAATTTCTGGATAATAAACATAAATAAATTAATTGAAAACATAACCACCAAATATGGTTTATAACTAATAATCCCTTGATAATCTAATTTAATTAAAGATCATAATCTTTGGACACGAGACAGAACCATTGATAATCTTCTTAAACGATTATACCGCCTGCTTTTAGTAATCAAGCTACCGCTACTTACAGCCGTAATAAAATTTTGACGAAATCATTAACAAAATTGGATTGCGATGGGAAGGTCGTCCGGTTTACTAATCGGTGTCATTGATTCGATAAATTATCTTTGCAATAATTTAATTGAACTATGTCTGAAACACATGTCATCGTCACTCATCAAAAACATAAAACAGCCGAAGGTAAAGTAGAGTACCTACTTTACTTTGGCTGTTTTATGTTTATGCTTTTAATCCATAGTCTTCAAATATTCATAGAACGCAGAACTCGTGGGCTAGTCCGGTTCTAAAAATGGTTGACACTCTTCTATTAAATTACCTTGGTCTTAATTAATGATATTTATTTTTGTTTAACGCGGTTTCTACATGGCTACACGTGAAAGGTAGCAAAAAAGTATTGCCGAGATTAGTAGTAAAAAGGAATTTTTGTAATTAGATGCCACTCATTAAACATCGCGGTCATCTTTATATAACATGTAATTCGTCTGTGCGTGTGTATGTGACTGAAGTCATTCTAAACGGCTGGACCGATTTTGATTAAATTTTGTGTGTGTTCAAGTGGATTCGACAATGGTTTATATTCACAATTAAATCCATTACAAAATGTTTTTTATTTATTTTTTTATTTATAAGTTGTCGCATTGAAGACCTTTGAACAGGATCCCGTGCTGTCAGATCCGTTAGTACTTAAACAAAACTCTTTGTTGCACTAAACATACGCGATGCATCTCGACACCGCATTGTCGCATGACATTACAACGAAACGAAACAAAACAGCATAAAAAAATCGACACGAGTGGGTATATGCATCCGGTTTACTTAATTCAAAATCATTGCACGCAATTTTAATAAAAATATATTAGTCATCGCGGCATCGGAATACAAAAGCCGTTCCGAGCGTCGGTAAACAGGTTTTTTATGGTTTACCGACAATTACATAAACAGCATGCTACGGTTACACCACTACGATACGCCGTAAGCTCTTTTCCACTTTCGATTATTACTTCTTCATATGTAACATGATATAATTGACTTTGATTTAACCATTGTGCTAAATAATAATTAATCGAATAAATGAGGATTGCACATAACTGATTTTGTTTCCGAGTTATCTAATCATAGCCCAACATAAATAGATAGTTTTCACGAGCATTCCATTTTACAAATACATATTATTATGTATATTCTAGTAATTTATGCAGTTTGAATTAATTAAAAAAACTTGAAATAAATTTATACCGAATCCAAAAATATTAAAGTTTTTATATCCATCTTTATTATCGTTAAATGTTGAGCAATTACTTACATTTACCATAATAATAATCGTAGTATAACCAGCTCATTATTATTAATCAACTTTCAATTTTATGTTGATTAACTTTCTGGACAATAAAATAAGTAGAATATTTTAATAAAACTGTTGTGTTCCGTATCTACGTAATTTATGGTAAAGAATCACTTTCCTTCAGTAATTAAGTTTATAATATACATAGTTATTTAACAACAGTTAATTAATGTATAGTTTATAATTGTTGTGACCGAGCAATCACGTCTTGTGAAGCAGCGTCCGGGCGTTCGCCATTAATTCAATATACTCGAGCAACCTGAGTTCGATCCCCAGTGCCGGCACCAATGAAATTGTTAATTTTAAGTGCTGAATTATCACGTGCTCAGCGGTGAAGGAAAACATCGTGAGTAAACCTGCATATTTTCGAAATAATAATAAAAAAAGTGGGGCCGCCGTGGACTGGACTGCACCTGCCCTAATACCCTTTGCACAGAAGAGGTCTTTGCCCAGCAATGGGCCATATGTAGGCTGATACTTTACTTTTATAATATATGTAATTAAGTTTATATAAAGTCAAGGAAATATACCTACATCGCACTTGCACATGCATATGTCGTCTTAGGCGTTTATTAAGTCAAACCTGTTAAGTGGGTAACAATGGAAGATGAATAATGAAGGACCAGTCTCATTTCCATATCCCCTGATGATTTGCAATACCAGATCCCATTCAACTGCATGTGGGATGGCCTGACACCAGTCAACGAGCGCCCACAATATTTTGAAACGATCGCGTCAAGGCAATGTATTTAGGCAACAGTATAAAAGTCTAGGCATTAAAGCCGTGACTCACCAAAAGTAGGTACGGTTGATATAATTTCTCAGTAAGAACGCTTTAGCGTTTTTTGCAAGCAGATTTGAACAACAGACTGTAAATTATTCTGTTTATTGTAAATTTCCAGGGCCAAGGCAGTGTTTCTGTACTTTTTGTGCCTACTTTACTTTTTGTGGATTGAGACAGGTGTCCAATATTATTTTATCTTCGTTACTGGTTGACCATGAAACGAACTGCGACATATTATTTATTACGCATCTTTTAGAAAAGTATTGATTTTTAGGGTTCCGTACCCAAATGGTAAAACGGGACCCTATTACTAAAACTCCGCAGTCTGTCTGTCCTTCTGTCATCAGGCTGTATCTCATGATGTCACAGATGATGTATTTCTGTTGGCGCTATAACAAAAAATACTAAAAAAAATTATAATTACTAAATAAATTATTTTAGTGGGGCTTCCATACAACAGAAATGATTTTATTGCCGTTTTTATAGATAATAGTACGGAACCCTACGTGCGCGAATCCGGCTCGCACTTGCCACTATCCATTATCCTACCACTATCAAGTTATAAGTTGTTGAGGCGAAACGGAATGGCACCATAGAAGGTCATAAAAAATATAAACTAAAGACTTTAGGTACTTCTTAAATCAATTGTTATCGTCCTGTATTTCAAAGTGTTATTAATCAGTGAAATGTAAACAGCATTATTATAATACACTCTTATGCACTGTAATTTATTTTCCTAACTTGATTAAAACCCTTAGCGACTCACTGACTTCGATCAAAAAATTCCAGCCCAGAAGCCGCATCAAAAAATAATATCAAAATCATAGAAATATTAACGTCCCCAAAGTAAATTAGTTATCTGTGTAACCCTGCTATGGATAAAAATCTAAGTATCCATTAATAACTGATTGAAATGGACTTACTAGTCGAATATTTGAGCTATTAATAAAATATATGTACACTAATAAGACTGGATAAACTCAAAGTAACCCCCTCCCTTCGTGACCTCCATTTAGCTGTATACTCTTGTATTGATTCAAGTTGATATGCATATGCTATAGAATATTTGTTTTGGAATTAATACTGTATACGTTTAAGTTAGTTCCAGTATTCAGTGGCCTAGGGCGGCCACATATTAGGGGCGGCAAATCGTGACAAAAAATCACTGATGATAACAAGATATATGATGGGGTCTGAGAAAGGAGTGACTGGAACTTACTACACGGGCTGGGGCCTAGGGCGGCAAAGACTTCAAATCCGCCACTGCTAGTATTACGGCAAAAACTATATATATAAACTGGGTGCACTCAGAAGCCATTTATTCATACGCAGGAGACGCGCAACCTGCGGCCCCGAGCCTACACACCAGCAGCGTTCTCCAACACGCTACCCAGCGGTTTCAGGCCCACGCCCTCCCTGGCCGAGCTGGCTGGATACCAGCAGCGGCAGCAGGAGCAGGAGTACGTGGTGGTCCCCACCAGGCCCCAGTACGAGGAACAGAGGGCCCCGCCCAGGGCACCTCAAAGGAAGGTAAATGGAACTAGACTTTCAAGGTTTTATTTTCATCGAAACCTATAAGACCTGTCCTGCTTCCCGCAACAGGGTAAATGGGATTACTACCCACTACAACCGCTTCAGTGGCCTTTTGTGAGGGAACGCAGCGGTACAACTAATGATTGAAAGGTTTACGATTCAAATGAAATAAACGTAAGCACACTTACTACCGTGCTATAGTTGTAAATTCTTATAGTGCCGTGTCAATCGGTAAAACCGATTAATCGGACACAATCGATTTTGGAAACTGTAACAGATCTAATCGATTGACAAACAGATTCGATCAACTTTCACTGAAACCGCGCGCGGCGCCGTGGCCGGAAGAAATTGCCGACAGCTTTTGTAATTGTTCGTGGATTTTTTTCACGCACGGCCGGGGAAAAAATTGTAAACAATCGTATCGAATGACTCTTTCACATCAACTGGAAACGAATTACACGCGATACTGGTATATTTCTTACCTACATTTGTTTTTACAATTGGCGTGTAGAGGTAAAATCAAAATTCATTTCATCAAGAAACAATGTCAAGTTCTTGTTACGCTGCTATAAATAGTTTTTGTTTCTATTTAAAAAGTGAAATCGCAGACATTGCTTTAAACTCACAAAACCAATTGAAAGTTTATCATTTTATCCGAGCCTTAAAATACATAATAAGTTTAACACTGGGAAAATAGTTTGAACGTCGATCAAAGGAAGTGAATTATAATACCTAAAAAAAACAATGTAGATAAAAGACGTTAAGATTTTCGTCGGTGTGGCAATCAGCCGTTTAGCTTAGAGGCTAGAGCGTCAGGCCGCGAATGCCGAAGACGTGGGTTCGATTCCCACAGCGGCTACAATCATTTCGTACTTTTTATACATACTTTAATGTTCAATCTTAAGTGCAAAGATTAGCACTATAAACAATTTAAATTTCTAAAGAATACCGTCGTTAAGAATCCCTAAATGTAAAGTTCACCTACTAGCATGTGCGGTTAGTGCTCTGGTAAACGGGATGATATTACAGCAACAAGAGCAACGTCCTGCCAAGTACCAGCAGCAGCAGGTGCAGGAAGTGGAGGAGGAGGAGGAGGAGAAAGAGGAGCCCGACCGCCTCTCACTGCTCCTGCAACAGTCCAAGTTTAATTGCGTCAGCAAACAGACCGGGTACTACGCCGACGAGGAGCTCAACTGCGAGGTGTTCCACTACTGCCAGGACAACGTGAAACACTCCTGGATATGTCCCGATGGTTTTAGCTTCCACCAGGTGAGTTACTACTTCCTCAAAAAAAAGAATTATCTCAACTATTGGGTGACATCGTTGCTGTAGCAAATTCAAAAATTACGTTGCGTTTACGGTATCACGGCAGTGATCAAAAATGTAAACGCAAAGTCACTACCGTGATCAAAAATGTAAACGTAATTGATTACACTTAAGTCTTATAAATGATCGGAGCAGGAATCTAACTCACACCCAGCGATTTGAGGTCAATAACTTTGCAACTGCGCGAACTAAGCCTTGGTAGAACACATTGTTGAACTGAAGTCATCTAATTGATCCAAAGATTAAATGCACCTTGATGGATGATCTTCACCGAATTGTTTATATGTATAGCATATGAATGCATATGAATGCATATGAATTTGTTTATATGTATAGCAAAATATATGAATAGGATATGAATGCTGTCAAAAACTTTCAAAAAAAATTTTTGTTGTATGCTTTTGGGTGGCGCCCTGGATGATTTAGATTCACTTTTTTTTAAAGTTGTTGTCGGATTTAGGTCGTGTGTACAGGACGTCTATCCGGTCCGCTAGTTATTTACAAGTTTTGTACCGTGAGTGGTTTAAAACCTCACAAAGGTCGATAATAATTGCTTTTGATTGTGTAGAAAGGATTTCCCCATAGAGTGGATTTCTAAAGTACGTGCTAACACTTTTCAACGCCCACCGCACAGGTCCACTTGATCTGTATGCCCACGAGCCAGGAGAACATCTGCCAGAAGTCATCCAAATACCACTTCGTCAACGACTATCTGTACCGGCCGATCAACCAAGAGGAGGTCGACCGCAAACCCAGCCTGTCCCTCAAGTACTCGGACCGCTTCTACCCGGCCGAGGTGTACAGGGACGACAGATACGACCAGGAAGAAGAAGAAGAGGTATACCTAAATCGTCTACTTTATCAGCATCTGCCCAGTGCAAGCCTAGAACCACCTGACAGTAATTCGCGATGGATTGTATGCACTGGCTTCGGGAAAAGTCCATTTCTATATTTTTTTTTAATGTAAGACGGCTAACAAGCTTGCGAATCACCTGATTTTAAGTGATAAACGCCGCCCATGAACGTCCACAACACCCGTAGGGCTGCAGATGCGTTGCCAGCTTTAAATAAAATGGGCCCGATTAACTCACTCACCAGACTAACGCAGAAGTATACACTTAGCGTCAGTCTCCTGTGAGGTCGTAGTACTTCCCCGGACGGGCATCCCCATTCGTGCAACAGCGAAGACTGATGCGTGGCCCTACCACGAACAAAATTAAACTCATCACATACCCAAATACATGACAACGGACATGTCATACAGCTCACTCGAATTATCCTGATACATACGATGCCGCATGATGCATCAGAAGTAGGAGAAATTTACACTTTTTTTAATGTGAAAAGTTGCCAAGCGAACAGACGGTTCACCTGATGTTAAGCGAATACCGCCGCCCACGGACAACTGGTACACCCGAGGGTTCCATGCGACCTTATGAAAATTGGGCTCCAGCTACCTCACTCACCAGACGAAACGCGAAAGCATTATCAACTTTACGCCGGTCTTCTGTGTGGTCGTGGTACTTACCCGGACGAGCCTGCCCATTCGTGCAACAGCCGCGGCTGCTGCGTGGCCCTACCACCAATTCTTATAACGAAACAAAATAATATCGCCGTGATATATTCCGAATACTTCGCAATACTGATCTCGACTCTCGCTTACTCTTTAATTTCAGGAGGAGCAGCCACGTCACACCCCACCCCCGCAACAGCGTCCGTCCCCAAGGCCGCAGCAACAGCAGCCTCAAGTGTTTCGTACCGCAGAGGAGGTCAACATTCCTCTAGTACAAAGACGCCCACAGCGCCCATATGAATTCGATTTCTAAACTATCCCTCATTTCTATCATAACGTCGTTTTTATGTTTTGTAAATGTTAAAACAATATGACGGTTAACACTGTTACACTGCAACACGCGTCAGGTGTTATTGTCAAAATTCATCTTGACAGTGATTGAATTAGTTACGATTAAAAGTTATTTTATTTATGTTCATTTGTACCATAAAACATTCACTCGTAAGTTACAAATTAGTTGTAAGCTAGTCCTTCACTTAGAAGTAAGGTTAATAAAATAAAGTCTAAATGTCTGTGTTTTATTTAAGAATTTTATATTTTCTTCAAGCGTTAGAAATTGATAGTAACGGAATAGATGCGCCTATAAAAAAAAAAGAATTGTATGGATAATGTGAATAAATCATATCATGGAGTGTTCCCAACGGCCGATCGGTCCTTTTTTAAAAGAGCGCTGTCCTATTAGCGTTATCAATTCTTTAAGCTTTGTAAGGAACTCCTTCATTGTAAATTCGCATTGATCGTTTTCATTTATGAATTCATCTTCAGGTCGCGATTCTCCCTCTAATAATTGGTTTGATTCATTGTGGTAATTCGCTTCTTCTCCTTTAAAATTATCCTCAGTGCTTACACGTTCCACGTTTTCGGTTGTTGATTCCTCCTTAAGTATCGCCGTACGCTCCTCCGCGTTTGTCGCAGTTTGGTCATTCCTATCAGTTTTTGGTATTACTTTTGTGTCCTCAGTTTTATTTATACTTTGTCCATCTTCGCTATTTGGGCTATCAGCGCCTGACAAAGCATTGAAATTACGTTCTTCGTTATTTTTTTCTTCCTTCAACTCATCTATGCATTCACTAAAAGTTATATTTTTGTTTTTTCCTTCCAAAGATTTAGCATCTTGAACATCTGAGTTAGCATTTATTTCGTCATTATCTAAACTAAAACTGCACTTAGCTACATCGGGCGGTATCGCGACGTTTGCCCCTTCTTTATTATCATTTGGTGGTCCATCAGTTTCTTGTTTATCAATAGCATAAACGTCCTCATCGCTTGAAATTGTGTTTATTTCACTCCATTTAATCTTTTTTATTACTTTTGATTGTGAGGAATCTTTAATGGATATAGTGCTAGCCTTTGCAAAATCTTTTCCACCCTCGTAACATTTCTCAATCGTTTTCGTCTGTTTGGATGATTTCCCAAATATGTTAGTTTTGCCCTTGTCCATTTCACGCTGTTCTCTCGTTAATTTATTGATTTCACTGGTATGAGTGAGTTCTTTTTCCTTATCCAATTTTATGTCTGCGTCAACCGATTCAAAAATCTTAGCTTTTATTCTGATTCTTTTAGAACACTCGCATTTATCTGATTCGCACAGCCACCGTTTTATTATAAAAGATATATACCTTTTTTTCATATTGGTTTTGGACACACCTTCAGTGGACCTGCACATACCATAGATAATGTAACTTAAAAAGGATTTAATTTAGTGATAAACATTAAATACAATTATTATATTACGCACCTTGTACCTGTGAACTCTGCAATAAAATTCGTAAATGTTAAAATGTTTTGTATCGACTAAAGTTTGGTATGATATAAAATATAAATGAAACTAATTTTACGGATTTATCGCGTTTATTTTTAATTTTAGTTCCCGACGTTTCGAACCCTTTACAGCGTTCATGGTCACGGGACAGACTGAGGTGTAATACAAAAACTGACGGTAGCCCGGGTTAACTATGACAATCAGACGTCTAACACCTTAAAATTAGTTTCATTGATAATGTGTAAACGCGTAAATACAAGAAATTATTATGATATAAAATACTTTTTCTATTTTATTTTACTTAAATTTTCTTTTATTCGAATAAATTTGATAAATACTTTCGATTTCGTAGACCGCGCATGGGCAGCGACTTCTTCTAACTTTAATAACTTGATTTTTTAATCTGAAAATTGACGATTTCACAGTGTTAATTTAGGAATCGTATTTTTTGCGTAATGTTATTGAATATTAGGCAAAAAATATTAAGTAATAATGTAAGTAAACATTGCGATAAATAAATATGTATGTGTAGTTTCCTGGAAGATCGGCCTTGCTCTTATGGTAGAGGGTTCCAGTGCTGTTTCGTTCTCGAATCAGTCATTCTGCATTAGGATTTTTTTACGCGCAAAAATTTCTATTTTACGTTTGCGCCCGTTTTATAGCCAAGGCTTCTTCACGTTTAGGGCAAGATATCATTTCAACTTAGCTTAGTAAGAGCCGTGATAGCTTAGTGTCCGGGCGCTCGCCTTTAATTCAATATACTCGAACAACCTGAGTTCGATTCCCGGTGCCGGCACCAATTAAGTTTTTAACTTTAAGTGCTGACTTATCACGTGCTCCGCGGTGAAGGAAAACATCGTGTGGAAAACTGCATATTTTCGAAATAATAACAAAAAAAAAATATATATTTCGAAGATATGTGTAGTCCGCCAATCCGCAGTGGGGCCGCGTGGTGGACTATGCCCTAATACCCTCTGTATATAGGGGGCCTTTGCCCAGCAGTGGGACATGTATAGGCTGTTACTTTACTTTTACTTTACTTTAGTAAGAGTAAAGAGGTCTCGTTAAGACTTTTGTTGACGAGTCCGAACGCCAGTTCTGCGGAAATTTCTAAATATCCGAAAAAAAATCTAATTCCAACTACCCTTCATTCGTAGGTGGATTTTCGTCGTTGCAAATGTCTTGGTCATTAAGCTTCAATAGTCGCAAGTCTTGTCTATTCGAGGCTGTAGGAGAAAACAATGTCTTATGTTTACTTCTACATAAACAACTTTAACTGTATTAACGAACTAGTAACTCGCCTCTGCTTCGCATGGGTGCAATGTGTATATTGAATATCACGGGTTTGTCTAGTATAATATGCATGTATACTACACATAAACCTTCCGTTTGAATCACTCTGTCTATTGCTGATAGTCGCATTAAAATCCGTTCCGTAGTTTAAAAGATCTAAGCATACAAACATCAGGACCGACTTTGTACTATGTAAAGATAAACAAAACCCACACAAGAGCTGAACCGGATCCAATAAAAAAAAGTTATACAATCGGTTCAAAATAAAGATGTTCTGGCGAGGAAAACAATTAAATAAAAAATACATTTGAATTGAGAACCTCCCCATTTTTTGAAGTCGGTCGAAAAAGACCAACATCGCCGGAGACGAGGAATATGTGAGAAAGAACAAAACGTAAACTTAGTCCACCCTTTGTCTTTTGTTCATCCCATTGAAAGTGACATACAATCAACTGTAATAACTAATATGTTTTTATATCAACATTTAGATCACTCATCAAAAAGTTGCAAACGCAAAAAGCATTGATTTTTTTTTCTTCACGCTGGCCTTATACGATCACCTGGTACTTCTAAGTTCTAAGGTGGAGCGGTCAAAACCATGTATAAAGTGAACCATTGCATACATATATTTAAATAATTTATATGCACAAAGGATGGATATTTCATGTTCAGGAATTGGTGGATTGATGATTAATGTACATTAAATCATCGCTCGTGATTATGATTTATTAGCTATTTCGATTACGCCAAGTCATATAAAATAGAGACAATAACTTACTATCGCCTGTTGGGTCATCTTCTGTCTGCTCACAACTATCATCAGTTTCTAATTGTTTGAATTTGTCATTGTTCAGTTCGATGTCATTGCCAGCATCAGGACATTTTGTTCATGATTTTTTAAAAGCTGATCTGACGTAGGAGAATAGAAAATACAAATAATATTAGTAACCTAAATGTAAACTATGGATGAAGATATACCAATGTTAAACAATGACATGGTCATACCGTCTGATTCAAAATTTTCTTGTTTTATCTCAACTTCCTCTTGGAATTTACAAGGTTCTGGAACCTAAGAGAATAAAAAATAAGGCTATGTTTTTTGAAGTATTACGTATTATAAAACATTTGTTTCTTAGTTCCCACTGTTACATGGCGTTTATACTTAAAATATCACATATTTTTCAGGCAAATTAAAATTCAATTCACCAATTAGAAATAACGAGTTTGAGAATCTTATGGGTTTTGTGTGTAGCACGTTTAACTACGACGCGATTAAAAATGAAAGTACTTATTAAAAATTATATTTCTTTCCTTACCTGCTTCACTGCTTCAACGTTGTCTTTCAGATATTTTTCGAGCAGCAGTTTTTTGTTTGCGTAGTTCCTATATACAATGTTAAATTATACATTTATGTTAAAAGAAATAATGAATCTTCTAAGAATTTCTTGTGATTACACGAATAATGGTTAAATGAAACTATTTTACGGATTTTAACGCAACTCATTTGGTTTTGACTATGGAGGTTGTAGTGTTCATAGACCGAAATTAGTAACAAAGTCAAAAGTTTATTATAGTCAGAAAAAAAAAATTACGGATTAAAAACTTTTGTTCAGTTACTATCCTTTTGAAAAAATTTCCTATCGTTTTGAGGACGAAATTTACAATGGATGTTACGACTGTAAACACAAAAAATACCATCCTAATCATCAGCCGATGACCTCCGTAAATAAGATGCGAACATCATTAGACTGTATAGTTCGATTAGAGTGAACAGGTTTTAACTGATCATGAGGTGGAACTGTGGTCTAATGGCCAGCACTGACCAGTTATTAAAAAAAATCTAGGTTAGGGCCAATTAAAAAAAAATATCTTAATATAAGGTGGCGAAGGAGCGTACGGTTTAACTGATTATAAGTGTGGATTTCTGGTTTTTACGCGAACATGATACATATATGATACAAAGCTATTAAACGGATCTTGTCGCGCTCTATTTTAATTTTTGTAATCCTGATGAATCGAACGCTTTTAGAGTTCCGTACGCAAAGGGTAAAACGGGACCCTATTAAGTACTAAGACTCCGCTGTCTGTCTGTCCGTCTCTCACCAGGCTGTATGTCATGAACCGTCATAGTTAGGTGAAATTTTCACAGATGCTGTATTTCTGTTGCCGCAAATACTAAAAAACAGAATAAAAAAATGTTTAAGTGAGCCCCCTATACAGCAGGCATGATTTTTTTTGCCGTTTTTATAGATAATGGTACGGAACTCTTCGTGCGTGAGTCCCACTTCGCACTTGGCCTGTTATTTTTACGATTTTCGATTTTACACTGGAAAGGGTTCCCTTTCTATCGTAGAATAGTTTCACTTAACCATGATACTAGGTGACCATCACAACAGATGCATATCCTTTGAGAGTATTCTTTCCGTTGCCTCAAGACAAATGGATACTTTTATTAATAGCGGAAAAAACTTAAGCCATTGGTTGACCCTGGCCATTTGTATTGAGCACTATGGCATGATTTGATGAGCATGATGAAAAATAATTATATTTAGTCTGTCACAAATCTGTACATACGACCCGTAGTGGCGTAGTGGGTAGTGTACCTGCCTCCCGCGCCAAAAGGTGTGGGTTCAATCCCCATAACTGTAAAAGTATTGTGTGATGAACACAGTGTTTTTCTAGGGTCTGGGTGTTTATATATGTATTTATTTTCAAAAGAAAAGTATGTTTAATAGTTATCTAGTACACATAGTACAAGCGTTTCTTAGTTTGGGACCGGAGGACGTTGTGTAAAAATGTGTCCTAAAATATTTATATTATTTATTTATTTACACTAAACTCACCCGCCATCAGCCGTCGGTTCCAGAAACGAAATGCATGTGGAAGAGCAGAATTCGGGCGGTTTTGCATCCACTGTTAAACAAACATCATAAATTCATAAGCCGCCCGAGCTGCCACAAATATTGTTATAATCTACAACTGAACAACTGAAGTCTACATATACTTACGCATGCTTACACATTATGCTGGGCAAAGGCCTCCTCTGAAAAGAGAATATTAGGGGGTAGCCCACCACGCGACCCCACTGTGGTTTGTCAGACTTGACTTTATCTGTGGTATGGAGCTTCAGCTGTTGCACGAATGGGCAGCCTCGTCCGGAAGTACCACGGCCTCACAGAACACTGACGTGAAGTGAGGGTATGATACTTTCGCGTTTCCTCTGGTAAGTGTGATAGCCGGGGCCCACTTATTTTAATCGTTTTCAACGCATCCGCAACCCCTCGGGAGTTGTAGATGTTCATGGGCGGCGGTAATCACTTAACGTCAATTGAACATTTTGCTAGCTTGACAACTTTTAACATTACAAAAAAAATCTTGGGATTTTTTTTGGTATTACGAAAATATGCAAGTTATTCAGGTTATATATCATTACGATGTTTTCCTTCATCGCACCTAAAATTGTAATTAACACAATTTGATTGGTGCCGGCACCGGCAATTGAACTCTGGTTGCTAGAGAACATTGAATTATAAGCGAGCGCCCGGACACTGAGCTATCCGGGCTATTTTTCGGTTTGTATATAAGCCCCGGCGCGTATAGGAGCCGTTTTTGTGGTTAAGTATCTTTTTTTTTTTTAGGAAAGAGATTGGTATTTTATCGGACATGCATGACTTATTGACGACCCAATTGGTGCAGTCGATAGTGACCCTGTCTCTTGCGCCAGAGGGTGTGGGTTCAATCCCCACTACTGGAAACATATTGTGTGATGATCATAGTGTTTTTTCAGTTTCTGAGTGTTTACATGTATAATATGTATTTATTTAGAAAAGAAAAGTATGTTTAAGTATGTTTATCAGTAAACCATAGTTTAAGCTTTGCTTAGTTCGTGACTAGAGAACGTTGTGTTAAAATTTGTCTGAAATATTACATATTACACTTGCGACCCGATCTGGCTTCGCACGGGTGTAATGTATTATTCATATAATCCTTCTTCTTAAATCACTCTATCTAGAAAAAAAGCCGCATCAAGATCCGTTGCGTTCTTTCAAAGATCTAAGCATACATAGGGACAGACAGCGGGACGACTTTGTTTTATATAGTGATTATAATCATACTCTCTTACGTTCTTCGCTTTCCTGCATCTGCTTGCAGACGGCGATCTCCGCCTTCACGGCTTCGGCCAACCGTGGTATGAGGGTGCCCGCTGGCTTTACGGTCGAAGACGGTTTGTAGATCCAATTTCTAAGCAAACTCTTTGGTATTGGCAGAAACAATAACGGATTGCCTGTCAACACGAAATAGCAAACATTGTTTTGCACTCATTCGTTATGCAAATTAATGTACTTTTTCAGGTCCTTTTGCTATAAGGCCTTTTTGATTACAAAATAAGAGAAAATAAGAAAAAAAAGCAGTTAGAAATAAAATAATAGATAATAATTTAAACTAGGTTGGTTTTCTAGCAATAGATGTTAACAATGAAATTATAAAAAAAACGGCACAATATTCCGCCCAGTGTGTAAGTTTTAATGGATATGAACGGTAAACGAAAAAAAAAAGATTTTTTCATTTCACTCGTTGATGTCTTTTTACAGTCTCTGTCTCCATATGTTTTAATATTTGCCTCTATCTCATGAAGGCAACATTATAATAAAATTAATTTATTATGACTCATAAACTAATATATTAGTTTGATGAAAAATGGAATGTATCTTTACACTCTGTCTCGCTAAATGTAGAGACAGACTGTAAAATCCCATGTAGAGACGACTGGTAAAACCGGTTTTGTTGTTATTATTTTGAAGTGAAAATTTTTAAAATGACCTTTAACATATTACGTACATAATGATGGATTTTGAAACAATAGCAAACACTATCGGCCCAATAATAAATTTCTTTGTTTCCTGCTAATTAAAGACATTCACAGACTCCGGCACATGGTCCTTCGAGCTGGATGAAACCTTGGATGTTTTATCAGATATTACTTAAAAATCGTTCTGCAACCACGAAACAAATGATGGTTCATGATATGATGTTCGATAGGTCATGCTCAGCTATAGGAGCGGTGACATAAATCATTAAACAATGCAATCTAAATCCGATATAGTCATCCATAAACTTCAAGTATGACTATAAAAGGCTTAAACAACTGTTCTCGCACTTAATTATAGGTGTAATTACCACCGAACTAGGGTTATAAGATAGGTTAAAAGAGAATATTTTCCTGGGTTCGATACGAGGTCTGAATCTGCGTCGTCTAACCCTAACTTTTAAAGACTGAACGAAACATCCCTTTTCATCTTATTGTGACCCAAAGCATTTTTTTATATGAAAATTTGTCAAGCGAGCAGTTGGTTGACCTGATGTTATGATATAACCTCCGCTGATCGACATCTACGACATTTGAGGACTTTGAGATGCGTTGACAAACTTAAAAATAGTACGCTCCGGTTATCTCACTCACCAGACGAAAAGTGCATTTCCACTTCTCGCTGGTCTACTGTGAGGCCGAGGTACTTTCCCGGACGAGCCTGCTCATTGGTTCAACAACAAGATCTATTTCGTGGCTCTATCACGGTAAAATTTACTTAGCGTCCACCATCGTTGTAACTTACGTTTGGGCAAATTCCCCGATTTCAGTAGATGTGGTTGGCAATCGCATGGGTCCGTTGGGCAACTGCATTTCTTAGTAAGCGGCGCGTCGGACCATTCTCATCTTCTGGTAGGGTTTCCCTAAAAAAACCTAAAGATACATCAGACGACTAATAATTTCTTGACCTTATATGAGACCAAAGCAATGATATAACAAGTATACTGTGGTAAGCGCCGTAGCTGCTGGGTCCGTCTAGGAACCACCATTACTACGGTCTACATACCCGCGTGAAGTGGAAGTATTAAACATTTGCGTTTTTGACCTATGGTTCAAAAGATAAAAATTACTGCCACCAGCGCCACCTATGCGGCACTACTCCTTTTTACGAAAACTGCGCGGACGGAGGAGTATAAAATTTCCCACACTTATAATTTATATAGAGAAGGAGTGCAGAATGTATTGAAAACCAGATTGTGTATTGAATTTGAGAATAGATTAATACTGTTCAAACTTATAACTTAAATCAATTATGGTCGAATTTCGACCACTCGGCGTCCACTAGTATACATAGATCCGTAAAAAGTTTACCTCTTTCGGGATGTATTTACTCTCCTTCAACTTGCGACGTTTCGCTTGTTTCATAAGCTTCTCCATTGCACCGTCGCTGTCGACTTGCCCTCTCTCATCGACAACATTCAGAACTATCGAAACCGAACATTCACATTCATCTTTAATAACGATCGGCTTCTGTTCCACGTGCTGAACAGGCCGTCGCGTTGTATTTTCACCTTTATCAGTCATTTTGTTTACCTTGAATAACGTCTTTTTACATGTCGAATGTTGTTTCCAATGTCTATGCTAGTACATAGAAAGAAAGAGGGGAAATTTGATTTTTTTGGAATATGTTGCAAGGGACGATTCTAAATTTACTACATTCATGGAATGCCTTTTTTTAGGTGAGGTGTCGCACGCCAGCGGTGATTACCTTAAGTGATTACCGAAGCTTTGCCAACCTTTGAAAGTGTGCGCCTTCATTCGTGAGGCTGAGTTTTGCGTTTTGTCACCAGACAAAACGCAAAAGTACCTATATCTGATATATAAAATACTTGTGTCACAGTTTTAGTGTTTATACTCCCTCCGAAACGGCTTGACCGGTTTTGATGAAATTTTCTAAGTATAATATATTTATAAGTATAGTTTTTTTTTCTACCCTACAAATAATTTACACTGCAAAATAAGGTTTTATGTCTAAGATCAGCTAGTATTATATACATTTCCACTTCACGCATGTCTCCTTAGTTTTTCGCCGGAGAGGTCTACCTAAGCGCAGCTGAAGCTTCAGCCTAGCTCTACCACAAAAATCCACTGTTGTTTATAAGCTGAGATATTTGATATATTCGCTAGTTGCCCGAAATCTTCAAATTTACTATGTTGATAAAAGATTACAATTGATAAATGTTCAGTGTTCAATTAAGTGCTTAAACCACCACAATACTGACGCAACTACTCAATTTCTTAACAATTACAGGTATTAAATTTAATTAATATCCAATTGAACACTAACTCGCTTAGAGGAAACTTTATGAAAGCTGACGTATCACAAAACTCCCTCAATTCACTTTAATAACTTCCGCGTTGCAATTTCAAGCATACAGTGTTTCAAAGTTACGTTGTTAAAAATCATTACCTGTCTGTATTTATGAATAATTTGTAATCATTTTTGTAAAAGTTATCGCACGAACAGTTTTACGGCCATCTTCCTAATTTGTTCCTTACTTTATATAAAATTTGGGCGATTAAGATATTGAAGCTGCTATCTAACAATGCTGTTAAGATTATTATTATTATTATAGTTTAAACTTTAGTCTTCGGATTTCTCCATACAGAAAATTCATCAACAGTTAAGCCACCATTTTTCTGTTTCATTGTTATGACAGTTTACAGGTGACAATTGTTATAATTATTGTCTTTTAGAAGCTTCATTTTTAATAGATTATGTTGAGTATTTCAAAAAAATGTTTTACATTTTTTTTATTTAGCCCTAATTTTATGAAATTAACAATTATACTTTAAATCTAAGTAAAAAAAAGTTCTATTGGCATTTTAATGTTGAAACTTGCTATTACATTTAACGTCCGGCTGTAATGTAAATTGTGAAAATAAAGATGTTTCCTTTCGTGCTGATGTTTAAGGTATTATAATGCATGGATTGATATTTTAAAACTCAGAAATCTATCAAAATAGTTTATTTAACCTTGGTTTGGGAATGTAGGCTTCAAAATCCTTAATAGAAACCCCTTTTATTTTATGGCATGCTTCTGTTAAAATGGCGAGCTTCAGAAACGTATAACATCCTGTCTACCTAAGCAGTAATTCAGTCTTTAATTTAATTTATAATTTATACCCACGGATAGAACTTAACTTTCAAAGATATTTAACTCAAAGTCCCTAGTTGTATTGGTAAACTGTCAATCATGTGAATGTGATAAATATAAGTACTACGTATTTACTCACGTTAACTATTTCAAGGCGTTAGTATTGTTTACATTCTCTAATACATTTTGCTCTTTTTTTATCCTGATTACATTTCTGGTCCTTATTCTCAATGTTTGTTTCCTTGGCATCTTCCGTTTTTATTTCATTGTCTGTATTTTCAATTTTTATCTGTGCCATTAAAATAAATATTTAAAAATATAAATTTTTTTACCCAAAAGCACAATCAAAGAGTTTGTATTGTTTTCACAAAATGATTCCACATTATAATTATGAGACAAAAGGTTTGTGTGTAATTCTGAAGATTTGGAGTATGGTACTTTTATAACCCAAATGATGACAATCATGTAGACTAGTTATATGTTATGGTGTGTAAACCAAACCAAATAAAGTTGTTTGGTTATAGACTAATTAGTCTTTAAGTTATATCTACTTTTGGCAAAATACAGCGTGTCGTTACCATCTCGACAATAAATGAACACACATATAGGCGATAACTTTTTAAAGTTGTATTAAACATTTAAATTCTTTAATCATCAATATTTACAGTTATTAAATTTTCCAAAACAAAGAATTTTAGAACACCCTTACTTATAAAAGCGTAACGTAAAGTTCATTTGTAAAGGTCACAAAGCACATGAATGGGTTGAATGAATTTAAAAGAGACAAAACATACTGTTAGAAGGAGAGGCTTGTAATACGACGTTGTGGCGCGAGTTGTATAGGACGTTACAAATTTTGTTTCTTTTTTACTTAATTAGTTTGTTTGAAAAATATTTTTTTTTAATTATGAATTTTGTTTAACGTTAATATTTTTTATGATTATTGGCAAGTAGCGTTAAACGTGTGTTCATTTATTGTCCCGATGGTAACGACACGCTGTATATAAGATATATTTACCATGAAAAATATTCATTCCATGTCGAAATGAATTGTATGCACGTTAATTATTGTACTGTATATAACAATATTGCTAGAAGAATTAGTATCAAATCGCTCAATTACTAAGTAATACATTTAACATTTGTCTTATAGATTAAGTTCCCATTACACTACATTTCTTTAGTACAATAAAATAGTTACTTCGTGGTTTCGTCACATAAGAGACTTTACATTTGCCTTAGCATATGTAGAGGTATCGGGGCCTATAAGGATACCACTACACATATAAATCTTGTGTAGTACCTAAATTTTAAGAAATCATAACCTTCTCTCGTGCCTTCAAAGAGTTTAATACATACCATTTTCTCATTACACCATAATGAGTGAATTATGCCAACATTACCCATGCAAAATGGAATACGAAGGTAGAGATAAAAAGTCGATCGGGGCTTTGTACGGAGAAAGCTACTTGACGAATTCAAATCCCGGCTGTAGAGAAGATGACGAGTGTGCCGATATTGTATCTTCATCATCATTATCATATAATGAGATGGACAACCTTAGAACGCCACAACGAACGACACTTAACCATTTGCATCCACCGGTTGCCCGCGACTCTTACGATGTCGTCGGTCCACCTAGAGGGAGGCATTCCAACACTACATCTTCCGGTTCGTGGTCTATTCGAGAACGTTTACTCTTTTACTTTGTTCTACTTAATTTATGGATATCGTTCCAACTCTTCCCGCCTGCTATTTATTTTTACGATAGTATACTCCTACCGACCAAACTGATAGAGTCCGAACGCTCCTGTTCCAATTTCTTCCATTTTTGCAGTCTTTGCTGCTTTAGTGTATTTTCAATCTTATCCGCCTCAACTTGAGCTGTAAATCTAAAGTTTATACGATTTTGTTAACCATCTTTCTATGTGTTTGATATTAAACCATCACTATTTTTTTCAAAAGCCGGATACGGGTTATTTAACTTTATATATTATTCTACTGTACTTGTGAACTCCTCCTAAACGGCTGGACTGATTTTAATGAAATTTTTTGTGTGTCTTCAGGTGGATTCGAGGATGGTTTAGATTTACAAATGTATTCAAAAAGTTTGAAGTTGAAGATTTAAGAAGTGTATGTGATATGAATAAGATGAGAATGTCTGTCAGGTCCGCTAGTATAAATATAAACAGTGATGGTTAAAGAATCTTACAATAGATGAATTTGACAAAGAATTAGCTACGAAAATAAGAAAATATTTTGTCATCCCTAAACACCTTAAATGAATAATCCTAAACTGTACGTTCCTTACGAACGCGTTCGTGGTGTAATAAAATATAAACGATATTAATTATAGTACATATTAGTTGTCTAAAAGTTGTGCGTTTTCTTTTTGGCCTTATAGTAAAGTTAACGTTTTAAATACGTTAAGAGTTAAGATTTAGTTAAGAGGCTCACTTAAATCTTTGTTAAAAAGAAAATACACTAAATTGCAATCGTAAAAATATAACAACTAAATAAAACCTTGCTACTATACACGTCTAGATACAGTCGCACCCTAATGGATGTTAATTTTATGTCATCGCTTCGGTATTCTTGCATGCGTAAACGCATTAATTTTTACAATTTACCATTAAAATGTAAAAATTCTTGTATGCATCATTTTATGTCACTTATTCAAATGGAATCACTGTAATTACCGATTACATTATAACCTTCTTAGTCATTTTTTTCGCAATTTTTGCAAAATTTTGCATGGTTATTATGGATACAACAATACGAAAAACTTGCTTATTCTATGCTTATATTTTAAAATCCAGAGTAGGAATCTAGACGTCTATATTAACAAATAAATATAAATAAAAGTTCATATGATACATACTTCGACTCAATTTCCACATTTGGGTTCTTGAAAGCAACGCAACGACCTCCACAAAATTCGGGACATCTCGAATCCACTGGAAGTTAATATTTATAGATTACAGAGTTACACATTGAACTTACCATAGCTATACTACTACTATACTACTTACTTTAGCTATACCTATAAATGTATAGTTTTTACTTTTAAATGGTTGCGTGGTAGGTGGCTACTTGTTGTACTGGGACAGTCTGGTTTCGGTCTAATTGGTATTTCTCGCTTTGAGAAGTTCCATTGCCGTTGGAAAGAAACAACTTTAGGGTGAGGGGAATGTTGAAAAGGTGGTGCTTTGATGAGCTCTCTCGTAGCGACCATATCTTATGTGTCATCATCATCATCATCATAATTTCAGCCTGTATGGGTCCACAGCTCAAATCCGCACAATTGCACTCCTTATAGTGTGGGGTCGTCCCACACTGCAAGAATCTTATATCTAATGAACACGATACTTACAGGCACCCTCTTGCAATAAATTTGAGTAAGATTCTGCTGCCTCTCTAAGCGCT